GGAAGCTTATAAAAGTTAACAGCATTTAATTACACAAAAGATGCGGTGGTGTACACTGTACAGTACAAAATGAAATGTGCGAGTGGAGGCGCTCTCCTCATCCGCCCGGTCAGTCCAGGTCACCCGGTAGCAAGAGGTCAATCCTTGGCTTGCTCTTCCTGTTGTCATCGGAGGTCTTCTCCTATTGGCCGGCGTCGTCGGGGGGCGGGTCCAATGCAATTTCTGCCTTTTTCTGTTGTTACATTATATCATTCTGGTGTCTGTGGTTATTTAAACATTCCCTAATAAACATTATTCAGCGGTAATAAATGATTGCTAAACCCAGTGTGCTCAGTGTACAACATCACATGTCATTTCACCTTTGATTCACGGTTTGAAAATGCAGCATTTCGCCACATGCTAATGCTAACCGGAAATGAATAATTGTCAGAATAAAAGTATTAAGTTAATAGTTAGTGAACTTCCGGTTTTTCAGAATAAAACTGATTTAAATTAAATAGTGTATTTAATTCAAATTACGCCATACCAACATTGATTTTAATTTCTAACAGTCCCCTTCGCAGTGAGGGTGCAGCGAGTCGTTTGGCTGATGCAGAGCGTAGTGCACGCGCTGGGGTGTACGGTTTAACCATGTCCTGGATGTAGGAAGGGCCAGATCCATTCGCAGCATGGTAAGCAAGTACCAGTGTCTTGAAGTGGATTCTAGCAGTTACCGGAAGCCAGTGAAGGGAGCGGAGGAGCGGAGTGGTTTGGGAGAATTTAGGAAGGTTGAAGACCAGACGAGCCGCTGCATTCTGGATGAGCTGCAGAGGTCGGATGGCACATGCAGGTCGACCAGCCAGGAGGGAGTTGAAGTAGTCTAGGCGTGAGATGACGAGAGCCTGGACCAGAACCTGAGTCGCTTTCTGAGTCAGCTGGGGACGCATCTTCCTGATGTTGTAAAGTGTGTATCTGCAGCAACGGGTTGTAGCAGCGATGTTTGCAGTGAAGGACAGGTTGTTATCTAGGGTCACACCCAGATTCCTTGCAGTCTGAGTCGGGGAAACAACTGAGGTGCCGATGTTGATAGTCAGGTCAAGAGTGGGACAATCTTTTCCCGGAAGGAAGAGCAGCTCAGTCTTGTCAAAGTTGAGCTTGAGGTGGTGAGCAGACATCCACTGAGAGATGTCAGCTAGACAAGCAGAGATGCGTGCGACGACCTGGGTCTCTGAGCGGGGAAAGGACAGAATTAATTGGGTGTCGTCAGCGTAGCAGTGGTATGCTGCTACATCACGGTCACATGACTTCACGGCACCACCGCTAAGCTAAAGGAGGCTAATGTTGGGCTATAAAGGAACTACATCACGGTCACATGACTTCACGTCACCACCGCTAAGCTAAAGGTGGCTAATGTTGGGCTATAAAGGAACTACAGCACGGTCAAATGACTTCACGTCACCACCGCTAAGCTAAAGGCGGCTAATGTTGGGCTATAAAGGAACTACAGCACGGTCACATGACTTCACGTCACCACCGCTAAGCTAAAGGAGGCTAATGTTGGGCTATAAAGGAACTACAGCATGGTCACATGACTTCACGTCACCACCGCTAAGCTAAAGGCAGCTAATGTTGGGCTATAAAGGATCTACAGCACGGTCACATGACTTCACGTCACCACCGCTAAGCTAAAGGAGGCTAATGTTGGGCTATAAAGGAACTACAGCACGGTCACATGACTTCACGTCACCACCGCTAAGCTAAAGGAGGCTAATGTTGGGCTATAAAGGAACTACAGCACGGTCACATGACTTCAGGTCACCACCGCTAAGCTAACACAGGGTTGCCGACTCTCACGCATCTGGCGTGTGTCACACCCTTTCACTCTTAATCTCACGCTGCCCAAACTATTCTCACACCAAAAACAAGACGAACCGGCGATCGTTTTTGGTTGGTTATTTACAATGTTGAGTTGACAGCTGCTCAAGCTGTCGATCCGCCCCCACCACTCTTAACAACGTTAACAGACAGCAGAGCAGTGGGAGCCGGTTGGTCAATCGCCGACCCGTATCGCGCAGATCTAAGATCCAGTAGAAATGATAACAAGTAAAAGTCTGCTGCTTATTGTTCTACTAGGCCAACATAGAGTCAAAGAGTATATGAGAGTTAATGAATATATTCAGGACTTGTTTCTGAAAAAGAAACGTAGTATTAAACCTTTATGATGTAATACAAAAATAAAGATCCTCCAGTTCTTCATCTTATTCTCTTTATTTGAAAAAGGCACATTATAAATATTCAAACACACGCACATGTAGTGTCAAGTAGACAAAAGCACGTACAATCCAGTGCACAATTCAGTACAAATATAAATACTTTTAAGGACAATTACTGAATTGAAAAGGCCTTTAAAGCTGAATGTATCTTGTTAACTTATCTGCAGTTAAAAAATAAAACATGAAAATGAAGATAAGCAACAGACATGTAGAAAAGTATAAATATAAATTATGTAACACGTAGAAAAGGCACTTTTTTTGTAAACTTCCAACATGTCTGATAATGGACCCGAAATAGATGCAGATAAATACAAATAAACTCAAACATTACATTCGCTTGCTCATGTAGTAATCTACTTTTCATGGCATTTTGTTCAACGTGTGTTCCTTTGCTCTCACAGTGCACACATTCATTCCCGAGCACATTTAAATTACAAATAAATAAACATGTTCAGGATCAAAAAACACTTTTGATTCAGGGCTTATTTGCAATACTCAAACAGCCAATACTTTTTATAATAAATATCCCACACTTGTTGAGGAGTGGAGAGAAAATAAATTACTTTCAGTGACACGAAAAACCACAGAGTAAAAGCTGTGATTTAGCAGTGTGTGTGTGTGTGTGTGTGTGCGGTGAAACAGGCGTGTAAATAAGGCTGATTTCACACACTGAGGGTTTCTTTCTTCTTTTTCTGGATTATTCCTCCAAACGTTATATGAGCGTTCTTTGAGATGCAAAAGGATCTCAAACCACCGCCATATTTTCCCTCAAAATTCTTACTTTTCTTTCCCTCAAAACAAAAAATTAAAAATTCTCAAAAGTTCTTAATTTTTTCTCATAATACTTAATTTTTTCCCTAAAAATTCTGACTTGTTTTTTCATCGAAATTCTGACTTTCCACAAAATTGTGACTTATTTTTCCATCAAAATTCTGACTTGTTTCTTCATCAAAATTCTGACTTTTTTCTTCAAAATTCTGACTTTCCACAAAATTCTGACTTGTTTTTCCATCAAAATTCTGACTTGTTTTTTCTTCAAAATTCTGACTTTTTTCTTCAAAATTCTGACTTTTTCCATCAAAATTCTGACTTGTTTTTCCATCAAAATTCTGACTAGTTTTTTCTTCAAAATTCTGACTTATTTTTCCATCAAAATTCTGACTTGTTTTTCCATCAAAATTCTGACTTGTTGTTTCTTCAAAATTCTGACTTATTTTTCCATCAAAATTCTGACTTGTTTTTCCATCAAAATTCTGACTAGTTTTTCTTCAAAATTCTGACTTTTTCCATCAAAATTCTGACTTGTTTTTTCTTCAAAAATTCTGACTTGTTGTTTCTTCAAAATTCTGACTTTTTTCTTCAAAATTCTGACTTGTTTTTCCATCAAAATTCTGACTTGTTTTTCCATCAAAATTCTGACTTTTTCCATCAAAATTCTGACTTGTTTTTTCTTCAAAATTCTGACTTTTTCCATCAAAATTCTGACTTGTTTTTCCATCAAAATTCTGACTAGTTTTTTCTTCAAAATTCTGACTTTTTCCATCAAAATTCTGACTTGTTTTTCCATCAAAATTCTGACTAGTTTTTTCTTCAAAATTCTGACTTATTTTTCCATCAAAATTCTGACTTGTTGTTTCTTCAAAATTCTGACTTGTTTTTTCTTCAAAATTCTTACTTGTTTTTTCATCGAAATTTGACTTATTTTTCCCTAAAAATTCTGACTTGTTTTTTCATCGAAATTCTGACTTTCCACAAAATTGTGACTTATTTTTCCATCAAAATTCTGACTTGTTTCTTCATCAAAATTCTGACTTTTTTCTTCAAAATTCTGACTTTCCACAAAATTCTGACTTGTTTTTCCATCAAAATTCTGACTTGTTTTTTCTTCAAAATTCTGACTTTTTTCTTCAAAATTCTGACTTTTTCCATCAAAATTCTGACTTGTTTTTCCATCAAAATTCTGACTAGTTTTTTCTTCAAAATTCTGACTTATTTTTCCATCAAAATTCTGACTTGTTTTTCCATCAAAATTCTGACTTGTTGTTTCTTCAAAATTCTGACTTATTTTTCCATCAAAATTCTGACTTGTTTTTCCATCAAAATTCTGACTAGTTTTTCTTCAAAATTCTGACTTTTTCCATCAAAATTCTGACTTGTTTTTTCTTCAAAAATTCTGACTTGTTGTTTCTTAAAAATTCTGACTTTTTTCTTCAAAATTCTGACTTGTTTTTCCATCAAAATTCTGACTTGTTTTTTCCATCAAAATTCTGACTTTTTCCATCAAAATTCTGACTTGTTTTTTCTTCAAAATTCTGACTTTTTCCATCAAAATTCTGACTTGTTTTTCCATCAAAATTCTGACTAGTTTTTTCTTCAAAATTCTGACTTTTTCCATCAAAATTCTGACTTGTTGTTTCTTCAAAATTCTGACTTGTTTTTTCTTCAAAATTCTTACTTGTTTTTTCATCGAAATTTGACTTATTTTTCCATCAAAATTCTGACTTGTTGTTTCTTCAAAATTCTGACTTTTTTCTTCAAAATTCTGACTTGTTTTTCCATCAAAATTCTGACTTGTTTTTTCTTCAAAATTCTGACTTTTTTCTTCAAAATTCTGACTTTTTCCATCAAAATTCTGACTTGTTTTTCCATCAAAATTCTGACTAGTTTTTTCTTCAAAATTCTGACTTTTTTCTTCAAAATTCTGACTTTTTCCATCAAAATTCTGACTAGTTTTTTCTTCAAAATTCTGACTTTTTCCATCAAAATTCTGACTTGTTTTTTCTTCAAAATTCTGACTTGTTGTTTCTTCAAAATTCTGACTTATTTTTTCATCAAAATTCTGACTTGTTTTTCCATCAAAATTCTGACTTGTTTTTTCATCAAAATTCTGACTTGTTTTTTCATAGAAATTCTGACTTGTTTTTTCTTCAAAATTCTGACTTGTTTTTCATCAAATTTCCAACTTTCCCCCTCACAGTTCTCAGTTATTTCCCTCTAAACTCTGACAGGTGTAATGACCGCATTGAAGAGCTTTGTCCTTGATATTCTCCGCCGTTCTCCTCTGGTTTAGATCCAGTAAGGCTCGCAGAAGGTCGTTCAACGAGGCGTCTCGGCCCTTCATCTCCAACCAGATGTTCAGCAGCGCGTAGATCTTATCCTCGTACAGAAGGTGCTCTTTGCTTTTTATCTCGTTGTCGGAAACGTCTAAGTGACGGAAGAATCTGCTGTGGAAGGCGAGGTCGAGCTCATCGAAAAACTGGAAGCATTTCCTCAGAGAGACGTCACCTGCAAACAAAGAGAAAGGATATTGAGACCTTTTGTGCATGTAAAATGTACTTTAAAATGTACTTGTCCAATGTGTGTAGGTCGCTGGTTACGATAAACCGCCTATAAGAGTTTTATTTTGCACAAAAGTTACGTTGGAAAATATTAATAAAGAAAAAAATATGATAAGGAAGCTAGGGAGGTGATAAGGAAGCTAGCAGGTGAGTAGGGAGGACATAAGGAAGCTAGGGAGGACATAAGGAAGCTAGCAGGTGAGTAGGGAGGACATAAGGAAGCTAGCAGATGAGTAGGGAGGACATAAAGAAGCTAGGGAGGACATAAGGAAGCTAGCAGGTGAGTAGGGAGGACATAAGGAAGCTAGGGAGGAATAAGGAAGCTAGCAGGTGAGTAGGGAGGACATAAGGAAGCTAGCAAGTGAGTAGGGAGGACATAAGGAAGCTAGGGAGGACATAAGGAAGCTAGCAGGTGAGTAGGGAGGACATAAGGAAGCTAGGGAGGACATAAGGAAGCTAGCAGGTGAGTAGGGAGGACATAAGGAAGCTAGCAGGTGAGTAGGGAGGACAAAAGGAAGCTAGCAGGTGAGTAGGGAGGACATAAAGAAGCTAGGGAGGACATAAGGAAGCTAGCAGGTGAGTAGGGAGGACATAATGAAGCTAGGGAGGAATAAGGAAGCTAGCAGGTGAGTAGGGAGGACATAAGGAAGCTAGAGAGGACATAAGGAAGCTAACAGGTGAGTAGGGAGGAATAAGGAAGCTAGCAGGTGAGTAGGGAGGTCACAAGGAAGCTACGGAGGACATAAGGAAGCTAGCAGGTGAGTAGGGAGGAATAAGGAAGCTAGCAGGTGAGTAGGGAGGTCATAAGGAAGCTACGGAGGACATAAGGAAGCTAGCAGGTGAGTAGGGAGGACATAAGGAAGCTAGGGAGGACATAAGGAAGCTAGCAGGTGAGTAGGGAGGAATAAGGAAGCTAGCAGGTGAGTAGGGAGGTCATAAGGAAGCTACGGAGGACATAAGGAAGCTAGCAGGTGAGTAGGGAGGTCATAAGGAAGCTACGGAGGAATAAGGAAGCTAGCAGGTGAGTAGGGAGGACATAAGGAAGCTAGCAGGTGAGTAGGGAGGAATAAGGAAGCTAGCAGGTGAGTAGGGAGGTCATAAGGAAGCTACGGAGGACATAAGGAAGCTAGCAGATGAGTAAGAAGTCACGCTGATAAGAGAAGAAGCTAGGGAACACGCAGGTAGAAGAGATAACAATAAAGGAGTTATCAGGTGAGGAAAGGAGTTATCAGGTGAGGAAAGGAGTCATCAGGTGAGGAAAGGAGTTGTAAAAGTGTAAAATAACAAAATAACGATATTCCAGTGATGTTCGTCATGTGTTTCTGAGGAGAAGGAGAAGGGTAATGATTTAGCAAAGGGAATACAAACACCTTACCATGATTAGGAACCAGCACGGGAAAGGACTCTTCTTCCTTAAAGACAGAGAGAGATGATAAAACATGTTTTTCAGGTTTGAATGGAAACGAAGGCAGGACAACATCTCTCTTTGTTAATGCTTAACCGCCACAATAACAACATGACTCATCACCCACTAATACAACTGACGCAGGAGCATGCGTCACTGAGAATATTTCACAATTCTTAATTCAGTCAACCAGCAGCGAGTGAATATGTAAAGGAGAACGACGCCTCGCTGCACATTATCCCTCTTACTATACAGCCACACAATAAACTCACTAACGACTCCTAATTACTCTCTCTTTGTCCTCCTTACGTCATTAAAGTGCTTAACAGGTCTGTATTAGTGCCTATAGAGCGGTGCAGTGACGAGTCCTAAAACCAGGAAGTGAGTCAGCAGGTCACCACTTCCTGTTCCCTGGTCTCAGAGCCAATGGGATCTCTCCATAGGGTTTGGGAAAGTATCTGAACTAAGGTCTGTGGTTGAGACACATTGAAGAGACGGATCACGTTTTGTTCTAGGACATTAAATCATCAGCAGTGACCCCACTGTGATTTCTGAAGAGTGGACGTGTCTGAAAAACGATGGTTGTTACCAAGTGGCTGAATAGGACTACAGAAGTCGTGGAGGCCGTTGTACGTCATTACGCCGAACATGTGAACACTCCTCTAAGTTAGTTTCTGTTCTGCTTGAAAGCAAGTCCCTGCCTCCTGCAGACTGTTCAAACAAACGCTTCAACTCGTTCCATCTAGAATCTGTGTGTTTGAATCTGGATCTGAAGTTGGCGTGACGTTGAAGTCGTGCTGCTGGACTCGCTGTAGCTCCTTTATAGCATCACGTTAGCATTTAGCTTCTGGACATTAGATTTATGATTCAACATTATGAAAGTAGACATGTGGAGATGATCCTGAACAAAACGTGCATTTATCAAACAGGTTCGTTTTCCACAGACCTTAATTCCAGCTATTTTCCTAAATCCTCTGGAGAGATCCCATTGGCTCTGAGACGAGGGAACAGGCAGCTTCCTGCAGGGTCGGACTACAGAAATACGTCATCCCTGCACCGCTCTATTAACCTCTGAAATGTCCAAATTGGCCAATCAGAATAGAGTATTCAACTAAGCCATGTAATAACAACTATTTATACTCGAGACAGGAAGCGTCTTCCCTGTATTTCAATACTTTGAGTACATGGAGTTTGACTGCTGTCCTTTTCACCTTGGAAAGGAAGCGAGGGAGGACATAAGGAAGCTAGCAGGTGAGTAGGAAGTACATAAGGAAGCTAGCAGGTGAGTAAGGAGGAGATAAGGAAGTAAACAGGTGAGTAGGGATAACAATAAGGGAGTTATCAGGTGAGTAGGAAGGACATAAGGAAGCTAGCAGGTGAGTAGGGAGGACATAAGGAAGCTAGAGAGGACATAAGGAAGCTAGCAGATGAGTAGGGATAAATAAGGAAGCTAGCAGGTGAGTAGGGAGGTCATAAGGAAGCTAGCAAGTGAGTAGGGAGGAATAAGGAAGCTAGCAGGTGAGTAGGGAGGAATAAGGAAGCTAGCAGGTGAGTAGGGAGGAATAAGGAAGCTAGCAGGTGAGTAGGGAGGACATAAGGAAGCTAGCAGATGAGTAGGAAGTCAGGTTGATAAGGGAAGAAGCTAGGGAACAGGCAGGTAGAAGAGATAACAATAAGGGAGTTATCAGGTGAGGAAAGGAGTCATCAGGTGAGGAAAGGAGTCATCAGGTGAGGAAAGGAGTCATCAGGTTAGGAAAGGAGTCATCAGGTGAGGAAAGGAGTTATCAGGTGAGGAAAGGAGGACATAAGGGAGTTATCAGGTGAGGAAAGGAGTCATCAGGTGAGGAAAGGAGTCATCAGGTGAGGAAAGGAGTCATCAGGTGAGGAAAGGAGTCATCAGGTGAGGAAAGGAGTCATCAGGTGAGGAAAGGAGTCATCAGGTGAGGAAAGGAGTCATCAGGTGAGTAAAGGAGTCATCAGGTGAGGAAAGGAGTCATCAGGTGAGGAGTCATCAGGTGAGGAAAGGAGTCATCAGGTGAGTAAAGGAGTTATCAGGTGAGGAAAGGAGCTGCTGCTCTCACCCTCATGCTGGACTTCCTGCGGGCCGGGCGGCTGCTGGGAGGCGGGGGGTTAGCGGGGGGGGGAGCAGGGAGAGCAGTGAGGCTGAGCTGAGAGTTAGTGGTGGAGCTGCTCAGGCTCTCACACAGGACTCTACGCTCCTCCTCCTCCTCCTCCCTGCGGGACCTGGATCTCACCAGCAGGGGGCGCTCTCCATTACTGCGACCATCAGAGGAGCTGACGCTGAAAAGCTGCAGGAGATAATATATCACTGTTAGATTAATGAAGGTCTGGGGATTGATTGATTGATTGATTGAAAAGTGTATTAACAGCTTGTATATTGGGTACAGTACAGTACAGCTCAAAACATACAATTGTTAAGGGGATGCAGACCAGAGAAAGACTTTCGTCTTGTTTACATCAGGGTCCCCCATTTCCAATTCATCATGTCATTTAAGACATATAAGACATATTTGACATACAGATGGCTTATTTACAATTTACATTTTAGATTTCGTTCTAATACATCCTAACCGGACATTTAAGACATACCAAGTCTACAGATATACAGTTAGTAACAGAGTCTAAAATGCGAGTATATACATAGATGGGGGGGGGGGAAGCTGTCCATTGAACGACAGGTTGAGATTTGTACCATTACCGGGGCCAGTTTTGCAATGCTCTCCCCCGAAGGTGCTCTTTAAGAGAGGTTTTGAAGGTAAGTATAGTTTTACTTTCCTTTACAGTTGTGGGAAGAGCGTTCCACCTTGATGTGGCATCATTGCGAAACGTGTATTCCCCCTTTTTTGTGCCAAATCTGGGTTTCACATGATTTGTGGAGCTCCCTCTGGTGTTATGATCATGGTATTCCTTGACCTTTGGGAAGAATGTTGACATGTACATGGGTACCATAGAGGTGGAGTGGATCTTGTAGACCAGGCCCATTGCAAGTCTAGAATAGTTCCTATTTTAGTTAAAGGTCTCCTAATATACTATCTTTAGGCATATAGGTCTCAAAAAGCAAATAATTGAAGAATACTCATTGTAAGAGACTCACCTGTCCAGCTTTCAGCCCGTCAGGTGCACTGCTCTGAGACTCTGCAGAGAGAGAGGAAACAGATGATGCAACTTGAAAGAAGTCCCCTGATATCTGCCAGCAGGGAGCTGTGACGTCAATGTCCCCACAGGATGAAAAGCCAAAAAGACACCGGAGACAACTTTGGATATTGTTACTACGCAAGGAAAAGTACTTGAAGTGGTTGCCTGTTACAAATACCTTGGTATCTTGATGATTGTCTCTTTTAAACCTCAGGTCAATAATCTGCTTAGAAAGCTGAGGGTTAGGCTACGTTTCTTTTTCAGGAACAAGTCCTGTTCCTCCCTCGAGGCCAGGAAGAGGCTCTGTGACCTTTTGACCTGTGCTGGACTCTGGGGATCTGGTCTATATGAATGCACCTGCCCATCACCTGATCAAGATGCCACCCATCACAGTGCTCTGAGATGTGTCACTGACTGTAAAGCACTCACTCATCACTGCACCCTGCATGCCAGGCAGGTCTGCCTTCACTAACTGTACGGAGGCTCAGTCTCTGGTACATGTTCATCTATAAAGCCATGCTGGGTAAACTACCCCCTTACATTTGCTCTCTGATCTCACAGAGTGGCAAGCAGCTGTTGCCTGAGATCCCAGGATGTGTTTTTATTTCATGTACCAAGTGCTAGGACTGTTTTAGGCACTAAAGCTTTTATGTGCGCCTCTAGCTTGGAACAGTCTGCAAAACAATGAGCATTTTGGTTCCCCTGCATCTTTTAAAGCACGGCTTGATGAAATGATTTTTGATACTCCTGGTACCTGTCATCAGGCCCGTTTCTTCCTATAGGCGGACTATGCAGATGCATAGGGCCCCCGCGGCCACTAGGGGGCCCCCAAGCTGAAATTTCAGGTTCAGCCTCAATATATTTGGGGAGAATTTAAATTAGCCATCTTTATTTGTAGACAGCCAAAAATCAAATATAGGATATAAACACAACTAACCTGCAATAGCAAAGCTGTGGCTTGTGTTTTTGGGGTAATAAATTCCAAGGAAGGAAGAGGAAAAATGTAAATGTAACATTGTTGAGAAAATGCTGCATCTCTTGCATTTATATGCATAGAAATAGAGGAGCCTTTTTGTTTACCTTTTTTAATATCATTTTTTGTCAGTTTCAATTGCTGGGTTTTTGTGAAATTAACCTGTTTTTCTCTTAAAGTGTAACAGATTGATGCATCTCCACAGATCATCTTAAAGGCTTCGGAAACCCCCCCCTTGTAGTTAAAAAACTAGGGCCCCCAAACAGCATCTTGCACAGGGCCCCCAAACAGCATCTTGCACAGGGCCCCCAAAAGGCTAGAAACGGCCCTCCTGTCATTGTGAATACATTTGTAAATTGTACCCCAGTAATTATGTTGTATTGATGTCCTTTTTGTTTTCTGTTACATGTGTAACCAACGTGCGGCAGGTCTCCCTTGAAAAAGAGATCGTTGATCTCAATGGGATTTCACCTGGATAAATAAAGGCTACGAACAAACAATAGCAACGCTGCTCTTCTGGGTGAAACAGTCATGGCAGCACTTGGTGTGTTGTTGAAGCCCAGCCTTTTCACCACTCACAGTTCTAAGCAGCCATTATAAGAGGGTGGGACAAGTCCCCCCACCTTTTCAAATGATTAGTTTAGACCCCCCCCCCCCCCGCTACTTTTACTATGCGGAAAGTCTGTGCATCAGGAAAGGAGTGAGCAGAGGGTAGAATTGTCAATTCTTGTTCTGTTTTCTGTGACTATTTTTCTCACCCTCTCAGACTTTCAGTTGCGCGCGCTACTAAAGAGATGCGCTACCATGGAAACCAAACAATGGTGTAGCTGTATTAAAGTCCGAGTGGAAACAGTCCTGAGTAAATCTGATTTTGTCAGAAATCGGGAGAAATGCGGGAGAAATATGACCCCGGGAGGAAACCGGGAGAGGGCAGTGAAATCGAGAGTCTCCCGCGAAAATCGGGAGGGTTGGCAAGTATGGTCTATCCACTCGCCGCTTTCTGCAGAGCGCTGTGTCAGTGATTCACTATCAAATCCATTCCACTCGCTTATTGAGAGAATGCCCAAATCAATGAAACTCCGTACCATGTTTTCACTGCTGCTTTGTACCAAGGCAGATTCTCTGAGCCGTGCACATGCTGCGTTCTCTGCTGTGTCTTTAGTTGTACATCTTAGCTAGCTAACGTTAACAATCAATCTAACAAGTAAGGAATGTTAACTAATTAACTAGCTAGCGTACATTAGCTATTTACTTAACAAGCTAGCAAGAGTAGGCTAACATCTTAGCTAGCTTACTTTAGCTATCTAACAAGTTAGCTAAGGAATGTTAACTAATTCACTTTAGCTATTTACCTAACAAGCTAGCGAGAGTAGGCTATCTATCTAACATCTTAGTTACCTAACGTTAGCTATCCATCTAACAAGTTAGCAAGGAAATGCAAACCATCTAACTAGCTAGTCACTGCTATTTATATCCTTAACAAGCTAGCTAAAGCCAGCCATCTATCTTACGTGTTTGCTAGCTAACCTTAGCTATCTAACAAGATAGTAAGGAAGGTTAACTAATTAACTTTACCTATTTACTTAACAGCTATCTATTGCCAAATAAGAAGCTCTCATACTTCCAATTATTATTATTTATTACACAATGGTTAAACTTACAATGCAGTCCTGTGTGTATCTCTCTGGCACTGAGAGTAATTATAAAAACATTGTTGAGATGCTTTTTGTCTTACAAAACCAGCAGCCTCGATAAACTAATCACATATTGGGAATCTGAATGGTGAGTGTCTGTCCTGAAAAACGATTTAACCTTAAAAATAGTTGATTCAAAAGCTTAAAAACTGTTTATTTGGCTAGTATGTGTTGATAAAGCTGGCAACACTATGCAAAGTAATACATCTAATGCTTAAAATCGGAAGTTGGAACACTAAATATGGCCCTAAATCAGGCGTAGAATAAGGTACGTCAGCTTTTTGAAACCTGATATTTGTGCTGGATCGTGTGGACTTTCCCAAACTGAACAACATCTGCACACGTCACTGACAACAGCTGACAGCAGTTCAATTTACATTTCCTAGTCTGAATGATGATGACAGACCGGGTTTTAGGCCTCACTGTAAAACTCTTGCCATGTATATTTGTCTAACTTCGAGTCAGAATATGTCTCAACACTTGATATAACACCTGATAACTTAAGAAGTACCTGTAGGAGCCATGTGTTGGCATGCCAGTATATTTTGTGTTTGTACAACTATCGCAATAAACATCAAACAAACTGCATTCAACGAGCGGAAAATCATCAGTTTTGTGTCTCGGTATTGCTCGTTCTCCAGAGTTGCTCAAGGTGTGAGGCGCCGGGCGGGTGTGGGGATACTCACAAGTCCCCGGTTAGGTGCTTCGTTGTTGGAGTTTACCCCAGTGGACGAGAGGGTCGCCTCCCTACGCCTGCGGGTTATGGGGGGGAAAACTCTGACTGTTGTGTGTGCTTATGCACCCAACAGCAGTTCAGAGTATACGGCCTTCTTGGAGACCCTGGAAAGAGTCCTGTATGGGGCTCCTGAAGGGGACTCTTTAATCTTGCTGGGAGACTTCAACGCACATGTGGGCAATGATGGAGACACTTGGAGGGGCGTGATTGGGAGGAACGGCCCCCCTGATCTGAACCGGAGTGGTGGTTTGTTACTGGACTTCTGTGCTAGTCATGGATTGGCCATAACAAACACCATGTTCGAACATAAGGATGCTCATAAGTGTACGTGGTACCAGAGCACCCTAGGCAGAAGGTCCATGATCGATTTCGTTATCGTATCATCGGACCTGAGGCCGTATGTTTTGGACACTCAGGTAAAGAGAGGGGCGGAGTTGTCAACTGATCACCATCTGGTGGTGAGTTGGGTCGAGTGGCGGGGGAAGCCTCTGGATAGACCTGGTAAGCCCAAACGTGTAGTTCGGGTGAACTGGGAACGTCTGGAGGAGGCCCAAGTTCAGGAGGCCTTCAACTCACACCTCCGGCGGAGCTTTTCGGGCATTCCTGTGGAGGTTGGGGACATTGAACCAGAGTGGTCGGTGTTCAAAGCCTCTATTGCCGAAGCCGCGGCGGGGAGCTGTGGTCTCAAGGTCCTAGGTGCTTCAAGGGGCGGTAACCCTCGAACCTCCTGGTGGACACCGGTGGTCAGGGAAGCCGTCCGACTGAAGAAGGAGGCCTTCAGGGATTTGTTATCCCGGGGGACTCCCGAGGCAGTTGCAAGGTACCGACAGGCCCGAAGGGCAGCAGCCTCATCCGTGGCCGAGGCAAAGCAGCGGGTGTGGGAGAAGTTCGGAGAAGACATGGAGAAGGACTTTCGGGCGGCACCAAAGTTGTTCTGGAAAACTGTCCGACACCTCAGGAGGGGGAAGCAGGGAACCATCCAAGCTGTGTACAGTAAGGATGGGACGTTGTTGACCTCAACTGATGGAGTGTTAGGGCGTTGGAAGGAACACTTTGAGGAACTCCTGAACCCGACAACTCCGCCCTCTATGTTAGAGGCAGAGCTGGAGTATGACGGGGGATCAACACCAATCTCCCGGGGGGAGGTCACTGATGTCGTCAAACAACTCCACAGTGGCAAAGCCCCGGGGGTGGATGAGATCCGCCCGGAAATGCTGAAGGCTCTGGGTGTTGAGGGACTGTCATGGTTGACACGTCTCATCAACGTTGCGTGGAAGTCGGAAACAGTACCGAAGGAGTGGCAGACCGGGGTGGTGGTTCCCCTTTTTAAAAAGGGGGATCAGAGGGTGTGTGCCAATTACAGAGGCATCACACTACTCAGCCTCCCCGGGAAAGTTTACTCTAAGGTACTCGAAAGGAGGGTCAGGCCGATTGTCGAACCTCAGATTGAGGAGGAACAATGCGGATTCCGTCCTGGTCGTGGAACGACGGATCAGCTTTTTACTCTCGCAAGGATCCTGGAGGGGGCCTGGGAGTACGCTTATCCGGTCTACATGTGTTTTGTAGACTTGGAGAAGGCGTATGACCGAGTTCCCAGGGAGTTACTGTGGGAGGTGCTGCGGGAGTATGGGGTGAGGGGGTCTCTACTCAGGGCCATCCAATCTCTGTACTCCCAAAGCGAGAGCAGTGTCCGGGTCCTCGGCAGTAAGTCGGACACATTTCCGGTGAGGGTTGGCCTCCGCCAGGGCTGCGCTTTGTCACCAATCCTGTTTGTAATATACATGGATCGGATTTCGAGGCGTAGTCATGGGGGAGGGGGTCTGCAGTTCGGTGGACTAAGGATTGCACCACTGCTTTTTGCAGATGATGTGGTTCTAATGGCTTCATCGGTCTGTGACCTTCAGCACTCACTGGATCGGTTCGCAACCGAGTGTGAAGCGGCTGGGATGAGGATCAGCACCTCCAAATCTGAGGCCATGGTTCTCAGCAGGAAACCGATGGACTGTCCACTCCAAGTAGGGAATGAGTCCTTACCCCAAGTGAAGGAGTTCAAGTATCTCGGGGTCTTGTTCTCGAGTGAGGGAACAATGGAGCGTGAGATGGGCCGGAGAATCGGAGCAGCGGGAGCGGTACTGCAGTCGCTTTACCGCACCGTTGTGACGAAAAGGGAGCTGAGCCAGAAGGCAAAGCTCTCTGTCTTCCGGGCCATTTTCGTTCCTACCCTCACCTATGGTCATGAAGGATGGGTCATGACCGAAAGAACGAGATCGCGGATACAAGCGGCCGAGATGGGTTTTCTCCGCAGGGTGGCTGGTGTCTCCCTTAGGGATAAGGTGAGAAGTTCGGTCATCAGGGAGGGACTCGGAGTTGAGCCGCTCCTCCTTCGCGTCGAAAGGAGCCAGTTGAGGTGGTTCGGGCACCTAGTTAGGATGCCACCTGGGCGCCTCCCTAGGGAGGTGTTCCAGGCACGTCCAGCTGGGAAGAGACCAAGGGGTAGACCTAGGACCAGGTGGAGGGATTATATCTCTTCGCTGGCCTGGGAGCGCCTTGGGATCCCCCAGTCAGAGCTGGTTGATGTCGCCAGGGAAAAGAAAGTTTGGGGCTCTCTGCTGGAACTGCTACCCCCGCGACCCGACCACGGATAAGCGGGAGAAGATGGATGGATGGATGGTATTGATCACTCCAAACCTCATCTGTGTGATAATGGAAAATCTGACTAACATCAGAACAGACAACTTTTAGCATTTCTGCTGTATTTTGCAATGCCAGAAATGCCAGGATATTTCTCACTGTTTTCGACTGTTGCTTTTCTCACTTTTTCGACTGTAATTTATTTCACTTTTTTCGACTTGGTTTTTCACTTTTTTCGACAGGTCCGGACTTGTCATTTTTGTAACACAAAATGTCCTGATCCTGGTAAAATATAGTTCAAATTAAGTATTCGATCTCCTTTATCTAAATATCCCATCTTATTGCAAGAGATCTTACTGAGCACATGTTCACTTGTTCTATTGGCAGATTAACTTATTACAAGAAAAAACACTTTTTTATTTACTAATCTTTTACTAGATTTTGAAGCAGAATTGTTTTCAGTGCCGATGTGTGACCATCAGCTCTGATGATTAATATCATAGTTCATAGTATTCTGGTTGAACCGGTTTCTGTGCCAACGCTTCTGCAATAGCTCATCACTCCTCAACATGTTTCCACGGGAAACACCCGGTGAACAAACAATCAGTCTTGCAGGTAAAAGAACTTGAGGACGATCAAAAGCTCCATCTAGAACTTTCTCTGAATGCCTTTCTATTGGTTTAGCTAAACTACACTATGAGGTTGCGTGGCACATATTTTTAAGCTTAACTCATGTGTGTCAAACGCTAGTAAGAAACTAAGGCTTGTTGAAAACTGTAAATATAGACTTTGTTCAACTTAATGAAGCAAATGTCTGAAGCAGAAGAAGTTGAAGTAATAAGTACTTTAGAAACAGTTCAAACTGTTAAAGGTCACCTATCATGCTATTTGTAGGCAATAGCATAGGTCTCAAATATATAAAAACATGTCGATGAAGTGTTTTGCTCCAAACACCAAACAGATCATTCTAGCCATGCCTCATATCCCTCTATTTCACTTCCTGTTTCTAAAGTGCTGATTTGGGTATAAAGCTTTAAAGAGGAGGGGTCTGAGCTCATGCGGGACCCGGCAGCTACTGTCTAAACTAAATGCTGCCGTGATGAAACGCCATATCATGGGTTATCAAGGATTCTCTCTGAAACAGTCTGGAGCTCAAAGGCTTTCTCTCTTGCCGGTTATACCACAAGGTGAGTTCCTTTTTACTTCCTGCTTCTTCACACACATGCTCTCCAGTACAGGTTAGCTCTGAGTGTTAGCGATGCTAATGTAAACACCGACCATATTACGTCCTAAACAGTCGGGCATTGTTTCTGATAGCAACGTTTCTGATTGGGCCGTGGGTCCACATTTCAGATATTACGTCATATCGGACGCAAATCTGGATCAGCTCCGTTGTTCCCCGTTTTTAGAGATTTGGGTACGGAGGAAAAGAGAGAGGGTTTTATTTCCTGACGCTGCGTGAGTTCCCTGACACACCGGGGACACATGGTGATGTAGAGAAGACATCACAAAGTGCATTTTGCATGATAGGTCCCCTTTAAAATCAATCACCTATGAAATGATGCGTTTGTATAGAGAGTATTTATACATTGTCGAGGGTTGTTCTGGGAAAACAGGCACTTTATTACCATTACTTTGGGAGTTGTGGGGTCAGTTTCTTGTCTTTTTTTTCTTTTTTACTATTTTCTGACATTGTAAACACTAAAGCAGGGGTCTCAAACTCAAGGCCCGGGGGCCAAATCCGGCCCGCGACTTCATTTTATGTGGCCCCGCAAGAGCTTGCAAAGAATATAATAAGTTTATTATACCGGTTACATGCCACTTTACAGAAGCAGGTTGCCCATAAACTACATGTCCCACAATGCATCTCATTTTGTGACATGCGCACTGAAGAGACTTGCAATTATTTGCCCTGGACTTCTGCTTTCAGACGTAGTTAATTACTAAGTTATTATCCTATCCGATAATAATCCAATTTAGAGGCAATAATGTAATATAATACATTATTTTATATATATATTATATATTTATATCATTATACCTTTGAGTGCAACCTTTATGCGAATGTGGCCCGTGATGAAATTGAGTTTGACACCACTGCACTAAAGGATGCATCAGTACTCAGAAAGTTGCATAGGTACATAAGTGTGTTTGTATTCAAGATGGCATTTCATAACCTGCTAAAAGAAATGACATTAATTCAAGTCTCTGTAGCCTTTAGAAAGCAAGCTAATTGTATAGTAAATGGAAAAAAGGCATGTTGTAACTTCCATTGCGAGGTCTTCACCTGAATGTGGTCATTATGGCAGGGCGGAAATTCAACTAAAACCTATTCTTAGAAATATTGGAATTATTAATCTAAAAGTAGCCCAAAAAACTGTGGTCACTTATATTTCAAATATTTGTGTTCCTTCATTATTGAAATGAAGCTCAGCGCAAGTTCTTTCAGGAAGACTGGTTCCCACGCTCTCATTCACAATTCTCTCTCACTCACTCTACCTTTCTCTCAATAAGCAAGGGCGCAACATACGGTTGCGTCTCATCCCCCACACGGGGGGTTGCGCTAAACCAATCGGTTGTGTCTCATAGCCAATCACAGCACACCCGACAAACGTTTAAATCTGCTCTCTCCCCTGCCAGCATCGTTCAGGGGAATTGATGCAACCCTCCTCCACCTCCAGTTCATCAGATCCAAGGCAGGATAGCCCAGAAGAACCCTTCAGTACTTCACCCCCACCAGTGTCTAGACCCCGGGGGGGGGGGGGTCGGCTTAATTCATCGCAGTATGATGGGGTCTAATCTCCAAAACGTTATTGTGCATACGGCAATACAAAAGTTAACTACGAACTAAGTCTCTCCTGATTGAAATACCTTTTGCTCTACGACGTCTCCACATGGCAAATATTATCCCAGCTATTATCAGAGCAGCAGCCAACACGACCAGTGGAACAATCCAACCGGCCTTTTCTGATAAAACAAACACAAATCAAAACCATTATCGTCATGTTTCAAACTCCACATCTGAGTAGAATCACAGTCTGCAGCCAGGAGACGTTTTGTGTGATTTCTATGAATCTTTTTACCCGAGTCAGGGTTAGATTTGGGAGCGTTCTTCTTGCACTCGCTGTTGGTGGTGGACGTGCAGTTCCTCACCGTCTCTTCATCTGGTGCACAGCTAAATAAGAAGAGACACTCAGATTTCAGCCTTTGCAGACCATTTACATGCACTAAAACCTATAGAACTCCAGGAGAGGGGAAACACCGCAAAGAGGAGAACAGAGCGTCTTTAAAGCCTCGTACGATTGGAATAAAGAGCGCCATAAAACAGATTATTTCCCCCCCCCCCACTTCCTCTGAATGAACCCAGGTGTGCACACACTCACCTGGAGCATCTTCTGCACACTTCACAGGCTTCATCCGGGGAACAGAACCTCCCCGCTCTGCACCGACATTCAGATTGCTGAGTGTGAGAACACCGCCGCACCACTTCCTGATCTGAGACAGAAACACCACACACTCGAAGGTGTTATCCTCATATGCACAAAGCTACAGGGGAGAAATGGTAATGAAACTCTTCTGACCTGAGCTCCAACAACAACGCAACATAAAATACAAAAAAAAAAAGTAGTGCCAGAAGTCTATATACATGTCGATAGAACATGAAATTAAATAATGTACATTAAATATGGTTTATTGCGGTGATAACTGTTTATATAAACAAGTAGGTTGCAAGATGACAACCAGAGGAATGTTTATGGGTTCGATGCTCAGAGCTCAGTGTGGGAGAGGCTGAGTGTTTAACAGATCATAAACTATACTTTCTCCAATAAATTACCTTTAATTGAAGCCTTCTTTAATGGAGTTTCGGGCCACACACTTTAGGATGACAGCCAACGCGCATAAAGTAGGGGATACACATTTAATGTAGTGATCTCTAATGGTTCATTAAGCCTGCAATGGTCGAGCTCACCGTCCTGTGTTTTGTAGAATAAGGCTTTTCGCACCTGGGCTCAAACACACACGGACTTTGACAGATAAACGTGACAAAAACCCCAAATATAGTAAACACTGAAAGGTAGAGGTTAAATAAAGGCAGTTGAACAGATGTTAAAACACGTCAGTAATGATTGGTGGTTACCTGAGCGACACGGCGCACACTGGAAGCACTGCTTTAGTCCGTTATCGTGCTCGGTGAACGTGCCGTCCTGACACTCCTCACACACACTCTCACCTCCTGCTGCGCTGCAGTGAGAGGCAACACGCTGGCCTGCAAACACACACACACACACACACACACACACACACACCTCTTTAAACACCTGTACATCTGGAGAGTTATTATTATTTATTGTGAAAAATGTGCATGTTTTTACTTTAACTTGTATACATATTTTTCCATTTTATTAGTTTGAATTAGATATGAGTGAGTGTGTGTGTGTGTGTGTGTGTGTGCGTGTGTGTGCGAGTGTGTGTGTGCGTGCGTGTGTGTGTGTGCGTGCGTATGCGTGTGTGTGTGTGTGCGAGTGTGTGTGTGTGCGTGCGTGTGCGTGTGTGTGTGTGTGTGTGTGAGTGTGTGTGTGTGTGAGTGTGTGAGAGTGTGTGTGTGTGTCAGAGTGTGTGAGTGTGTGTGTGTGTGTGTGTGTGTGTGTGTGTGTGTGTGTGTGTGAGTGTGTGAGAGTGTGTGTGTGAGTGTGCGTGTGTGAGTGTGTGTGTGTGAGAGTGTGTGTGAGAGTGTGCGTGTGTGTGAGAGTGTGTGAGTGTGTGTGTGTCTCACCTGCAGGACAGTTTTTACAGCAGATGTCTCCGTGTGGATACGTGTCGTCTTTGCAGGGACGAGGAAACGCTGCAGTCAGCCTCAGGAAACAGAACACCAACGAGACCTTCGGAGAAAAAGATCAAATCTGTCAACTACTGTCCGTCTGTTGAGCCGTCCACCTCTCCTCTCCTTTCCTCTCCTCTCCTTTCCTCCTCTCCTTTCCTCTCCTCTCCCACCTCTCCTCTCCCACCTCTCCTCTCCTCTCCTCTCCACCTTCCTCTCGCCACCTCATCCTTTCCTGCTCCTCTCCCACCTCTCCTCTCCTCTCCCACCTCTTCCTCTCCTTCTCTCGCCCCTCTCCTTTCCTCTCCTCTCCACCTCTCCCACCTCTCCTTTCCTCTCCTCTCCCACCTCTCCTTCCTCTCCTCTCCCACCAATCCTCCTTCCTCTCTCCCCTCTCCTTCCTCCCCTCCCCTCTCTTCTCTCCTTCCTTTCCTCTCTTACCTCTCCTCTCTACTTCCTCTCTCACCTTTCTCTCTCCTCTCCTCTCCCCCTTTCGACAAATGTAACAATTCCAAATATGAAATTCCAATGATGTGATTTAAATTTAAATGAAAATGGTAATGTCTTCATTAATTGTTGACTTGACAACCCTTAGGAAATATTTAACTTTCACATTTCAACAAATGAAGCTTCAAACTATATGGAAACGGGTTAGAAAATAAAATAAGCAAATGTTCCTAAATTGCAGCTCTATAGTCCTTCAGTTTTATGATCTGTTTTCAGGACATTTAAATATGTTGCCGACCATTTTTCAGTGGATTCACTTTTCAATGAATGGTCTAGAATACGATCTTGTATACGGGCGACATGTTATCGATATATCTTATAAACAAGATCAGAGACTCAGACTATAACTTTCTTGGAAAACACCTGATGATTACTTGATAGTTTTTCTCCCCATGACTTCATGAAGCTCAGCGTGAGTTCAACCAGGAAGACCGTCTTTCCTCATTCACTATGTCCATGTTACTACTCTCTTTCCTCTCAATAAGTGATCGGGGGCGTCACTCCCCAGCTTAACCAATCACCTCGCTCTATTCTCACAAGCCTATCATAGCGCTCCGCTAAACCTTTTTAAATCTGCTCTCCCTCCTGTCAGCTGTCATTTCAGGTGACTTGACGCAACCCTCCTCCCCCCTTTTTCACCTCCTGTCCCTCTGAATCCAGGGTCAAGCTAAGCCCCTCCTCTTCAGACCGACCCCAACTATCCATTCACCACCACCAGGGTCAAGCTAAGCCCCTCCCCTTCAGACCGACCCCAACTATCCATTCACCACCACCAGGGTCAAGCTAAGCCCCTCCCCTTCAGACCGAACCCAACTATCCATTCACCACCACCAGGATCAAGCTAAGCCCCTCCCCTTCAGACCGACCCCAACTATCCATTCACCACCACCAGGGTCAAGCTAAGCCCCTCCCCTTCAGACCGAACCCAACTATCCATTCACCACCACCAGGGTCTAGACCCCGGGGGGTTTCATCCGATCGGTTCTCCCCTCCTGAATGATACTCCTGCACAACGGGGCCTAATCGCCAAAACTCCATTACATTCATTTGTGTATTCCTGCCAATAAATATGTATTCTTTCATCAACACCGTCTCTCCTGATTGAACTTTCAATATCTCACATGTGTCTGAAGTCCTTCTCTAAAACCCATCAGTTCACAGGACACCACTTGTTTACAGAGTAAGAGCTGCTACTCCGAAAGTGAGGAGAAAACGATGAGTCATGTTTTATGAGGATGACGCAACACTTCTGACTCTGTGACTTTAGATTAGTTCATAAACAAGAGGGGGGGGGGGGGGGGGGGGGGGGAGTTCCTCATCCCTCATCCTTTAAGCAAACACACATCACAGTAATGTGGACATCTGCTGAAAATGCAATATTAAATATCATGTACTTTTATTTATACTCAGATCTTATACTGGAGTAAAAGTAGAAGTACTCAGATCTTGTACTTGAGTAAAAGTAGAAGTACTCAGATCTTATACTGGAGTAAAAGTAGAAGTACTCAGATCTTGTACTTGAGTAAAAGTAGAAGTATTCAGATCTTGTACTTGAGTAAAAGTAGAAGTACTCAGATCTTGTACTTGAGTAAAAGTAGAAGTACTCAGATCTTGTACTTCAGTAAAAGTAGAAGTACTCAGATCTTGTACTTGAGTAAAAGTAGAAGTACTCAGATCTAGTACTTGAGTAAAAGTAGAAGTACTCAGATCTTGTACTTCAGTAAAAGTAGAAGTACTCAGATCTTGTACTTGAGTAAAAGTAGAAGTACTCAGATCTAGTACTTGAGTAAAAGTAGAAGTACTCAGACCTTGTTCTTGAGTAAAACTAGAAGTACCAGAGTGTAGGAATACTCTGTTCCAGTAAAAGTCCTGCATTCAAAATGTTCCTCAAGTGAAAGTAGGAAAGTATTCTTATCAAAATATAGTGAAAGACAGTGAAAGTAGTCGTTGTGCAGATTGATCCATTTCAGAATAATATATATGATATGTTTTATAATGATTGATCATTAAAGTGTTCTCAAAGCTGGTGAAGGTGCAGCTAGTCTGAATGGCTTTGTATACTGCAGGGTAGCTGGTGGATTTACTCCAGGTGGAACTAAAGTCTGATTCAACACTTGATTAGATTTCACATCATTCATCCAGATCTGTGAAGTAACTAAAGGGATTAAATAAATGCAGTGGAGGAAAAGTACACCATGTACCTCTGAACTGTAGTGGAGTAGAAGTACACGGTAGCATCAAATGGAAATAGAAGTACCTCAGAATTGTCCTTAAGTACAGTACTTGAGTAAATGTACTTAGTTACTTCCCACCTCTGGAAATGACCAAATAAGGAAGGAATCCCTGCTGCACACCCTGCCCTTCTAAGCAAACAGAGAGAAGTCACATGGCCTCACCTCACTCCGGAGGAAAGGTGCCAAACAAATCACATGCTAGGTGAAGTATTAACGAGTGACGCTGATTCATAAAGCAAAGAATCAAAGAGACATTAGCAACAAATCATAAAAACAACGTCACCTCAACGTGCTCCATAATTCAATGAGAGTTAAGAATCATCGACAAAACATTACAAATGAAAGCAGGACAGTCAGTAAGGATTAAGGCTTTTCTTATAAACCACAGTGATGCAGAGGACATACTGGGATTTGATGTTGTACTCAGATCTTGTAGTGAAAGTAGAAGTACTCAGATCTTGTAGTGAAAGTAGAAGTACTCAGATCTTGTAGTAAAAGTAGAAGTACTCAGATCTTGTAGTAAAAGTAGAAGTACTCAGATCTTGTACTTGAGTAAAAGTAGAAGTACTCGGGTATTGTTAAATGGAGTTTGGTGGCATACTGGGATTTTATTTTGAGGTAAAAGTCACATTAAAGCAGACCCGGCGTCATGGGCGGGCCCCATGGGGCCGGGCCCGCCCATCCAGGATTTGGGCCCGCTGTTTTAATAAGGGCTGAATACCACATTTTTATTGTTTTATTATTATGTTTATTGTTGTTATTTGTAGGGCTTTGTCCTAATATTTATTTTTGTATTAGTTTAATATCATTTTTTTTATTTTGCTAGGAAATTCTGAATGAAAGGCTGCGCGCAAGACTGGTTTTTCGCTGGGTTGAGTCGTGTGGGTTTTTGAGTGAGATGCGGCACAGCAGCCTGTCAGTTAGTTTACTCTTGCTAGTGGTTCACGAAAGGAATATGGCAACTCAGCGCCAGATGCAGGCACATTAGAATAAATCAGTTAGGCCTACGTTACCAACGAGCAAGCAAGTCAGCTGGCAATCAATTATATTTTGAAGAGAAATGTACTCTCAAGCCGGCTCTCTCACAAACGCCGGCTCTCTCACAAACTCCTGCTCAGTGCGCAAGCAGACCGCTGCACAGGCTCTCTGCCTCGGTCAATCTCTCTCTCTCTCCCTTTCTCCCCATCGCTCAACCTCACTCCACCTCTCCACCCTGTGTGCGCTCAAGTTTGCCTGGTGCTTGCCCAAGTTGGCCCAAGTTGGCACAGCGTTACAAATGTGCCACAAAACCAACCAATGGATACATAAGACCGTCAACAGCCTTATGGCAACCTAAAACCCCTCTCTTTCAACAATTCACGAGCGCCTCCCTCCCCCCCCCCCCGTTGACAATTCAGATTTCCTGGGAAATGTAAGTGTTCGTGGGGCCCGCCCTGGTAAATCAAATGCCCGCCCAGAGATGTATGTCTGCCGCCGGGTCTGCATTAAAGTAACGTTTAAAAAGAGTAAAGCGGATTAATATTACGCCGAATTGAAGACAGAGAACTTATAATTATTAAAAATACACTTTAACTAAAAAATGCTCTTAAATATGCAAGGTAGTTTGTAAGAGCAGATTCAATTGACGCTAAATGGAGTGTTGTGGCATACTGGGACTTGATTGAGGTAAAAGTCACATTAAACAAAGTAACATTTTAAAAAGACAGAATTGCACTAATATAGCACCGAATTGAAGAAAGACTACTTTCAATCAATACAATATAGTTTACCACGGAATTAAGTATAACTACACCAGGCAATTTGTAACAATAATTTAAATTGACGCTTCCTTACATGGAGATTGGCTCGACATACCAGGATTGTATTGCTATTAAGTCTCATTAAACTACACATTTAAAAGAATAAAGGGTATTTATAAAGCGCCGAATTGAAGACATATTTGTAAAACATCATAGACCACAATTTAATCAATAATTTAACCTAAAATAATCGAGTCAATTTGTAAAAGTACTTTAAATTGACGCTTTTTAAAATGGAGTTTGGAGAGATACACCAGGATTTTATTGAGGTAAATGTGTCACATATAAACTAACATTTTAAATTAGAATAGCTGATTTAAATAGCGCCTAACTGAAGACGGATTACTAACAGGTCATAAACTATACTTTCTCCAATAAATTACCTTTAATTGAAGCCTTCTTTAATGGAGTTTCGGGCCACACACTTTAGGATGACAGCCAACGCGCATAAAGTAGGGGATACACATTTAATGTAGTGATCTCTAATGGTTCATTAAGCCTGCAATGGTCGAGCTCACTGT